AGCGGTAGAAAGAGTTTGTGTCACTTATCTGACTCTCGTGTCTCAATTGAATCAAACCGTTTGCAATACTCTTCGTTCGCGACATTTTGTAAGCCATTTGACAGCTATTCAGCTCAATCTCTGACTCTACCATCACATCAATTGATTCATGGGATTCATCTTTAATGAAACCATTATTTACAAAACCAATACCGGTGCGAACCTTGATTAGTTTAGCTTCACTCTTATTATCTTTCATTTCTGTCATTAAAATTTCCGATTTACTTGATTTGAAATCAATTTTCTCTTCATTATCGGACTTCTGGCTATCTTGTAGTTGAGATAATTTAAGAAACACCGCCTCTAATGTTGTGAATCCATAGTGTCTTAATAGCCCTTCGGGTGAGTCCTCAGCCAATAGTCTACCGGAGCGCATGAAACCAACCGTCTGTGCACTTCTGGCCTCCTCTATGTAATGTGTGGTCACAATAACAGTCAATCCGTTTTGACACAAAAACTCCAAATGTTTCCAAATGGCCTCTCGAAGGATCAAATCTAAACCCACAGTCGGCTCGTCTAGTATTAGGAGCGGAGGATTGTGTAGAAGAGCTATCAAATAGGTTTGGGTTTAATTGTGGTCAAACTAAACTACATTTAAATTAATTGATTACCGGTTGCAATGGATACTCTCCTTTTTTGTCCGCCACTTAATTTAGTAATCATTCGGTTTTTGTCGGGCAATTGAAGCAAATCCACCAAAAACTCTATCCTCGAGTCAACCACTTTTGATTTTATACCAAATAGTCGACCAAAATATTTGAGTATCTCTTCGATAGTGAACTCTTCATAGAGTGCCAGTTCTTGAGGCATATAACCCACACCAGGTCCAGGTACTTTGCTATCAGGTGAGCCGGGTGTTTTGCCAAATAGACAAATTGATCCCCTGTTGGGTTCCAGGCGTCCCAACGCACACTTCAATAGAGTTGTTTTGCCGCAACCGGAAGAGCCTAACAACCCATAGATTCCTCCTAAGAGTATTGAATCAATTGATTTAATGATCGTTATATTAATTAAGTTAATAAATTTGAATTAATTCATACCCTTAGGAACCGTAACATTGATTCCGTTTAGAATGGATATTCCATTTTTATAACTAAAATATACCCTACTTATTTCTAAAGCATTTATTTTAGTAGTCATTGTTAAACAATTTGACATTAAAATGAGTTTTATATATTATTTAAAATACACAATTGAATATAGAATTTATTAAGAAAAACAAATCATCAATTTTTAGTAATGAAATGTGAAAGTTAGAAATAGTTAATTACAACCAAAATGCATTGTTATTAAATAAACATTTGGCATATGTTCAAATAAAATGTTAATGAGACTAAGTCATTTGATGGTAAAAGTTTCCACTATTATTTCCATTTTACTGTAATGATTATAAGGACACTCCATTGACAATCACTAGAAGAGTTGGTCTCACTTTATTAACTATTGATAGTTTAACAACAAAAACAACACAAAAAGAGTTTAAATTCTTTAATGAATTCAAAATGAGTACAAATTATAGTCTCCTCTTAAAGAAAATGATTGCATTAAACAGGAAGAATATAAGCCATAATATAGTGATCGTAAAGCCAATGATCACTTGATTCTTCTCGAGACCCCAACCCCGCAGTAAAATACACCTCAAAGTCTCGATGGCCAGCGTTGACGGAAGGGTTTGACTGATATATCTGAGTGCTGTCGGCATACTCTCCAACGGCCAGAATATTCCTCCGATCATAACACTGGGAAAGAAGGCACCGATACCTGCAACGGGACTACAGTTAGACATACAGTTAAATTCAATNCTGGGAAAGAAGGCACCGATACCTGCAATGGGACTACAGTTAGACATACAGTTAAATTCAATTATTGTACTGTATTTGTAACCTAAAGTATTGGCGTATATCTCGTCGTGACAGACGGCAGATATCATGAGACCAAACATTAGTCCACAAAGACCCTGAAGGAAGACCAAAATGACTGCAGATATGATGGAACCACTGTTGGGAATAACGAACACCAGAAATGCGACCATCAGTTTTAGCCCCACCTGAAGGACCAACAGAAGTGTCTGTAATATAATGTGCGATAAGACAAACTCAAATGGAGTGACGCCCGCCACAAGACTTCTCTCCACTAAACCATCGCTTCTCTCTTTAATTAGAAGATGACATGTCATCACAGTTGTGGCAAAGTATGCCACCATTATTAGAGCTCCCGGTGCTATAAATGAAATCAACGATTGCTTTGGTATGCCATATATCGGGGGATCAATAATGATGGGCGGTTTCAGTGCCTCTGGATTTATGCCATAGGTTTGGGCCAGAACTGACACAAATTTTAAAAATGCTTCAAAGATTTGTCGCTGTATTTGAAAGCCAATCACTTGGTTAGACATATCCAACTGAAGTCGTATTGAACTCGAGTTTATGATATCTGCGTCCGAATCGGTGGACAGTATTGACCGCATTCTCAGCGCTTCCG